AAGCGTTTGTTTAAACAGGTTTCATTATTTTGTATATTAAAGAGTATTTTTAATACATATTCCATATATTTTTTTTTACCTTTTTTCCTTTTCTTAAAAAGAGTTTTTTTAAATAAGGGGTAGTCCACGAGACACGTAGTTTTTTTTAAAGGCTATTTATTTCACATTTTTCTTGTACGTCTCGGCCTCTATTTTTCTATCCATCGTCAGGAAACCCTAACAAGAAGTAAGTCAAATTAGTACACATTATAGCATTAATCATTAATATCATTTACATTTTTATTTTTAACTATAAAATAAAAAATAAAAATGTAAATGATATTAATGACTAATGCTATAGTGTGTACTAATATGTCTGTACTTCTTGTTAGGATTTCCTTAAAAAAAGAGGCCGAAACGTAGAAGGAAAACATGAAATAAACTAACCTTTAAAAAAACCATGTGTCCCTTGGACCACCCCAAATTTAAAGAAACTCTTTTTAGATATAGAAAAAATAGTATATATATATATAAAATCATCTTTGATGGATTAAGACTGGGTTTGTCAGTTAATTTGTTTGTTTACAAGTTGAGGTAGAGATGAGAGAGATATGATGGAGAGGGCGAACACAGAAGGAAAGACACAAAGAACGAAATTTGTTTCTCTGTCTCTTCCTATCTTTACCTTTTATCCTCTCTCTCTCTCTCTCTCTCTCTCTCTCTCACTCTCTCCTTCCAGTCTGTCCATCTTGATATTATGTAATATGGGGCTTCCCAAACCTAGTTAGGGTCGGCGGCGAACTTTGAGAAAAATTCATAATTACATACTAAACGTAGAATGGTTCCAGTTAAATTGCATTTTGAGGTTACACACCAAGAACTCCAGGAGAAACAAACTGATTTTTTCATGTGGAAGCATATTAAACTGGCTGCTTCTCAAGCCTTCATTAAAAATCAAGTAAAAACTAAAAATGAAAACTAACTAGACGCGTCTTACTTGACAAGTAATCCTGTGGCAGAGGCAGGTAAAGCTCATACCATCGCTGAAACACTCAAAACCGTGTGTTAACGATATTGTACCTCGCATGTTTGACAAAAAAGCAGAAAAACTTATATTCGGTGACAAACACTTCTGTCAAAAGTACGTATACTTGATTTGTCAATGATGTGAAAGAATGTGTTTCTCGCATCAATCACTATTCATTTTCTCTTCAAATCGAATCACCTGAAGTCGTGGAGTCGGCTATTTTATTGGCTTTATCCGTTAGGAATACTCGGGATGTTTCGAGGAGAATCTTCTGTTGCCCAAACACTTCCTGCCAATGCAGCAGGTGCCAAAATATTCCCTTTGTTGGACGATTTTTTTACAATTAACGAAATTCCATGGTCATGTGCACAGATAATGCAAAAGCAATGACTGGCAGAACGATCGGAGTGATTACTAAAATAAAAGATAAATCGAAGGATTGCAGCAACCATTGTGACATGATTTAGCTATGAAACAAACAAGTCGCGGTCATTGAAGTTAAGACTATATGTCTGTCCCGTGGGAAAGCTCTTTCACGAAAAAAGAAAACGTGTTATTTCATTGGTC